TTGCTTTTGATCTAAAGCTTTGTTTATAAACAGCTATATAAGTTATTAGAATCTCCCAGAAATTTCAGTCGAAAAGAATAGTCTCTTCTCGAAATACTAAATCCACATAAAAGCTAGATTTTCCGTCCTTTTGATAGAAAATCGTGAGTTTTTGTCGATTTGATATCTTGACAAGAGACCATTCTTTTTGATAGAAAACTTTTAGAAGATTCTAATAACTTCAAGAGCTGTTTACAGACACAGTTTTAGGCCATAAATCATTTGTCCGGTTTTCTTTTTATTAATACCGTGCCAAAGATGAAAATCTCTGTGTAACGATCATCCCTAGAGAATGGCAGCAAATGAAGAAGAATCTTTCTAGGTTTCTTCTAGTTTCAACAGATCTTACGTAATGACTGGGATATCATCTTAAACGCGAGGTATCACTTCGGCTGTGTCTTTTATAATCAAAAATTTTCATATTACTTAAAATATTGTTTAAGAATATCTAAAAAGAATTGTACACGAAATTTTTCTCGATGAAATTTTTTATCATATTGAACAATAATTGATATATATTGTAAATGTAATATTCGTATATGAAATTTAGATTTATTCCATAAATTAAAATCAAATAAAATATATTGAATTAATTGTTGTGTTAATACATATGATGAATCAATAAGTTGACTTGATTCAATTAATTGTTCAATTGAAATTAATAATTGTTTATCAATAAAAGATGACGAGATATGATTTAGATATTCTCCTAAGATTTCAATATTGTTATGTTTCGTCATTTCTTCAATTAAAATATCTGTCGACATATATAATAAAATACAACGAATTAGATAAATTATTGATGCAATTGGATTCGAATACAACTGTTTATTAGTACTAGATGTAGATTCTATTGAATCTCCATTTTCATTTAATGACAATATATTGTTTGAATCATCAAAATCATTCTCTTGAAATAACTCAATTAATGGATAAAGTATTGCACAACCACCTAAACTAAGAAGTGATTGAGAAAATGGATGAAGACGTAAACATAAGCCATTAATAAGTCGACCATTATTTATTCGAGAAGGACCACCTGATATATCAATACATATGTGTCCATTACATGCCAATGGATGGTAAGCAAGAAGTGAATGATTAGAAAGAAGATCAAATATAGTCGACGAATTTGAAGCATCGTCATGGACCATTGAGAAATGACGTTGACGGCAAAAATCACTACCTAAAAAAAAAAAAGAAATTTTTATATGAAATCCATTTTAAAAGAATATTGAAGTTGATGAAGAAATTTCAGCAAGTTTTCCAAAGTCAAAATTTCATTTTGCTAAACTTTCAAGGGCATAGACAATAAAAGTGGATTTTATCTTAACATTCTCATTATTGAATCCATTTAAAATAGGCAAAATTATTTTGAGGATACTATTCTTCATATCACACGTTACTCTAAAACAATATTATTAACTGTGACATCATCACGTGGAATTCATGTGAACATCAACCAGTTTCACTACATTGTTATAAGAACACGGTGGTAGGTGAAACCGTTCACCTTCCAGATATGCTCCAGTAAAGACTAGTTTAGTATGTTGATAATATCTGCCGATGACGCTAACTATCATTAATCTTAGTAGACTATTCTGAAATAAATATCAACACTTGTGGACTATCAAGGGTTTACTCTGATCTTAGTGAGATTCATTGTTATATTATGTATTTATTATATTTAATCGAGCCATGTTCTTTTAGATATGCATTAGAGAAACTTAGCACAATACATTAATAAGATCAGCCAATCACATGCCATTGTTCTTCTGATGTAAAGGAGTTCCAAGTATATGTGAATAACTGAATAGTGATGCATGATTTCGAATTTCTCAAAAATAAAGCATAACAAGACAATGACAGAGACTAGATAAATATAATTCAAACTATTTTTTTGTTTGCTCTTCTCGTAATCAAGTGTTTACATGTCCAATATAAACTAGTAGTAACTTCTTGTATTACATTTATTTTATCAATTAGAATTCGCACAGACGCCAGGTAAACAACAAGTGGTATTCGTGAAAGTAGTTCCGCTAGCGTTAACTCTTACTCTGTTAGCAAATGAAAAAAAATATCCATCGGAACTCGTGTATTAAGAAAAATGTTCAATCTACAATTTTTATTACTCATGAAGTCTATTATTTTCTCGTTGTCAGAAGACTTCGAACTATGTTTTACATTCTACTTTAATCTGTAATTCTCTAAAGGTTTTTTACCCATTGCATGTAACTGTTTTACGTGTAATTCATCTAATGTTTCCGCTAAGATCCAAACACAAGCCAATTGTCCATATAAACAAATCGATTGACCAAATATAGTGTCTTGTATATTTGGATCAATGATCATGACATTTGGTGAATAAAAGCCTTGGTTTTCTTTACGAGTTATTGAACTTTTTGTTTTCGATGAAAGTAATCCTTTAAATGGTTGAATTGTTTTTGCAATAGATGTTGATAATGAGTCGTTCTTTATTTTGGATATTGATAATTTTGGTCGCTGGCTTGGTGAACCAACTGAAGCTGAAATAATTGGATCATGTATAATTGATACATATTTAAAATCTTTGATTTCTTTCCTTAATATCCCATCAATATAAATAGTTAAATGACATGTTTGTGTTGTTTGAAATGCTGAAACAAATAAAGATGGTCGTTGTGCTTTATGAATAATTGTTAATGAATGCCAATAGCCATCAATTAAATCATTACAATCACTTATTTCAATATAAACAAGTTCACGATGATCACTTATTGATATAAATAATGATGAGTTACGTATAAATGATTCTATACCCATTGAATTAGAATAGAATGAATAGATTTGACGACGTCCTTCATATGGATATGAATGAACTTCATGATTAAGTTTTAACCAACAATGAAATGAAAAATGATGAGTTGTTGATGATGTTGATAATGATGGCCATCGACGAATAACAGGTAAAATAATACCCTAAAAAATACATAAATTTTATCATAAATTTCAAATATAAAAACAAAAACAAAATTATTCTTTTACACTATTTGCTTGTTGCAAATCGAAATAAGATGAAATTGGTCGTGCGTCTTGATCATCATGTTTAGCTGCTTGTATTAATAATTGTAATAATTGATTTTTAAATGATGTATCTTGATAAAATAATTGACATATATATCGAATTTCTTGTGGATATATGGAAAATCGTGATAAATTTTCTAATAAAGAAAAAATATCTATTATAATTTTGTCTTCTAATTTATTTGAATTCGTATTATTATTATTATTATTATTCAGTATTTGAAGTAAAGCTAAAATAATACCATTTGAACAAGCTGTCATTTTATTTTGTAATGAACGTAATACAATTTTATTTACGGAAGTTATAATATACTGTTGATATGATACATTTGTTAAATATGGTATCCAATGTATAAGTGATATAGCAATATGTGGATTAATAAAAATAACAAATGAATCAATGATCTGTGTTACTAAATCTTCATTTTGTATTGTTGATTTTTTAATCATAAGAATAATTAATTGATTAATAAAATTTATTGTTGGTAAATGTATATAACGAAGTGAATCAAAAAATTTTTCATAACCATTAAAATGAAGAAATTTTTCTTGAACATTTTCCGAATTATTCAAAAGTTCAATAATAAATTCTAAGATTGATATTATATTATCTTCATCAGTATTCAATATTTGATAGAGTGTTTCTAAACATTGTGCTTTAAGAAATTCAATTTTCAATGCTGCACAATCTTGATATTCATGTATAAGACATGTTAGCATACGAAATACGTTTGATTGTTGTGGTTCAATAGATTGAAAAAATTCAGTTAAATATTCAGTTAAATCAATTAGTCTGTGATCAATAGTCGTTTGATGAAGTTTCTGTATTGTATTTATTATTTGATCAATATTTTTTTCGTCAATCAACATCCTTATTCAAATTTTTTCAATGCGCAACACAAGCGCAGAAAAAAAATGACAAGGAGAAAAATATCACAGATCTAAAATTCAAATATGATTCCTTCTATTTATCTCCTTTAATAAAAAAGATAAAGATAAATGGAGAGATTTATTTTTTTGTAAAAAATAAAATAACAAAACAAAACAAAAAAAAAATATATATATATAATTTTCTAATAACTATTGTTTCTTCCTCTTGCTTTTGTTAATATTGATATTGTTGTTGAGTTTCATTTGTGTTTTCAATATCGGTATCACGTTTTATTAATGATCCATTCGTAGTATTTAATATTACATAATCATGATGCTGTGGCTCACGAGACTACTCTCGATAATATAAACGATGCGTTTCTACAATTATTTTTTTAACCAACATTTTCTAATATATCATGTATGTCGTTGACTTTTGCATTATCTACGGTTTTTGTTTTTCTTGACACGGCGACTCAGTACTCGAGTTTTTTTGCATTTATATAAGCTAAAGAGATACAGACAAAAAGACAAGGATCAGAATGTACTGCAGCATTAGGAAAAAATGCTTGAGAATTACATTCACGTTGAGATAATGACGTATAACTTATAGCCATCTAAAAGAACAAAAATGTTTTCTCTCTATCTACTAAAGATGATATATTTCAAACAAACAAAAAAAAAGCAGTCATTCACATATATGAACGCGAGAGAAAAGCAATAAGTACCGGAAGAAAAACAAGCAAGAAACATATATGCTTAATAGTTCATATGATCTGCATTCTCAGCTATCAATTGCAAAAAAAAAAATGCATGAATAACAAGATTTTTTCATGTTTACAGAGGAGATTCTGGAATGAATAATATTCAGTAATGTTCTAAGATGACAATATATAAAAGTAGAAATAAACATCAAGAAAAAAACAAAAAATATCTGTATGTGTTATCATGTGAAGATTTCAATGCACAAAATAAGTAATAAATGACCTATATCACAGAATGACACACACATGTATGTATTAATTATTTCATAACCATTTAATATTTGATGTTCCTATTCGTATTATAAAAAGAATAACTAATAAAAGAAAATAAGTATGTGTCAAACAAGACGATGAATTATATGTTGGATCATAATAACGTGCAGATTGATCTTCTAAATTTATATTAAAATAGAATTAAAATATTTTGATCCAAAGAAAACTATTTACTTCTTATACTATATGAACTCATTACTTCAGTTGATCCTTTTGCACATGCATAATCTATTTTTTCAAGAGTTTCATTAAGAATTGTATGACTAATATGAATTAAGATAAGTGATGCATTACAAACATCAATATCAATATTATCTCGATTGCTACGACATCCATCAGCAGTATCATCGAACATAAGAAGAATACCGGATGGTTTTACATGATCTGTTTTCACTGATAAAAAGACATTATCAAATTTTGATGATGATAATGGTGATATCGATGTTGGTTGAGATATTTCACAACGAACTTTTATTTTTTCACTTGCAGTACCAGCATTTGGATAGACAGATAATTGAAGAATTGGACTTTCATTTGTAGAACGATTTGACAGTTCAGTTTTTGATAATACCAAATCGATGACCGTCAGTAAAAGACAAACTAAAAATAGAAACTTGTTTTTATTCTCTTTGAAAAAAAAAAAAAAGATCCGATGAATAGAGATGAAGTAGGAAAAAGATAATTTAATACTTCTTTAATATTAATTTGAAAACATATGTGCTTACTCGACTGATAATATATCATAATTTCATAGATCAAAAGAATATTCTTTTAGATGTCGTATTCTTTTTTTTTCTTACATAAGAAATTTTAATGCGAACAACAACACGTTCGTCTTACTAGTTCCACAATATGAATAGATAAACGAAAAAAACAAATACAAATATTTTTTCATGACATAATCTATTCATGTCTACGTGCTTTTTTATTTTGTTAATATTCACAATTGGAATTAAAAGTGTTTATCGTTAGAATTTTCTCTTGAGAATTTGATACAACAATGAAGCGATTAATCTCAAGTTAAGAGATTCTTATGTTAGTGTCTACACATATTTAAAGACAGAAATTAGAATGTCGACTTACCATTGAATAAATATAGTAGCAACGATGATGCCATTTCGTTGACGATGGCGCTTGCTGTGTTCTATTAATGAACGATTAATCTTCTATAGAGAGAGAGAGAGAGAAAAAAAATCAAAGTAGAACTTCTCTTATTGTCTCTGACATTTATGCAAATGACTCGTCTGTATGTATGAATGTGTTTGGTACATTCACACATATCATTAAAAAATCAGCACATGCTAACTGACTTCTTGCCACATACTAGAGATATTTCCTGTATAGACACCGCCCTATTTTACTTACTAGTATATATACGGAGTGTGAAACCTTTGAAAAATGAATGAATATATTTTCTATTGAATGATGGTGAAGAATAATGAGTGTTCAAGTTTAACGTGCGATGGAGCAGAAGAAACGATGAGATGTGCTTTGAACAGGCGTATATGCACATTAGACAATTTGTGAATAAAAGTGGATTACATAAGACTGTTTTTTTCTTCGGTTTTTTTTTTCTGTATATGAATGTATTATGCTTCTTTCACACTTATATCCCGTCTTCAAAATGTTAACTAATGCAATAATCAAGTGGGGGGAGGGAGCTTTAGTGAAGGGCAAACGTACACATCAAATTGAACGACACAGAGAGAGAGAGAGAGAGAATAAAGAACGAGAAGCAAATGAGAGAAGAGTGACAGCGGTAGTCGATTGAATGATTAGAAGAAGCATTCATCGAATTTGTATTAAAGAGAAGTATGTTGTTCTTATATGGATTCTTGCTGTTATTCATTACTTTGCAAATAAGTATATAAATAAGGTGCCAAGCAACCGTTGTGGAATTATGCTCCATAAGTAAATATAACTATGAGGACAACAAATATTTTAAAAAAATGTAAATAACACCGATGAACATATAGAAGGTTAATCAATGACAACTAACCAACTGTATGTTAATAGAACAACATACACCACAAATGAGTGACATACTCCAGATGACGAAGCATTTTCTAGATAAACTTCTATATACAACAGAAGGAAGAGAAAATTAATTGCTATTTACACAAGAAAAAAAAATATATGTATATATTACAGATTTACGTAATTGATAATAAAAAAAACAATAAATATGTGTAATCATAAGAGTACACAATAATTATACAAATCGATCGCTTCGAATAGAAACTCACTTATTTAGCTAATTCATATATTTATCTTTATATCTGCTTATATGTTAGATAAAAGGCTTATATTTATCTTTTTTTTTTTTGCTAAAATTTCTATGGAACTATCTAATATAAATGTCGATACAATATACATTCACATGGTGCACATAGCTTTCTAACTATGATATGATTCACAAACAGTGCTTATTATCTGTTTTTATAGGATCGATGAAGTAACAAAACAAAGTAAAAGAAAATAACGTCCTTATCCATATAGATATGCACAATGGAAGAAAAAAATTTGACCACTCAGTCTGTATAGGTTGGTCAAAAAAAATAACCAATTAAAAATCAACTTACAACCACCACATTGGATTGTGTCCATTAAAACGTGGTCATCTTTATATAATAAGTATTTATTCATCATATTTCATAACTTCTACCATATGTATAATATAGAAAATGGAATATATTAAATGTAATATTTTATTTATAAATATCTTATGAGTTGATAGTTAAAATTTGCATTGAAATTTCAAAAAATTTCAAGTCAGTGAGTATGTATCAATAAATAAATAAAAACTACTTTTTCAGCTTAAGTATGCATTTCCACTCATTCATAATGTTGCACCAGCTATATTTTGTATAAGTGATCTAATTAATATCGACGATAATTTCCTATTTCATTTTTTTGTTTGATTTCTCAACTATTTGTTTCTGCAATAATTCTGCTTAAATATTCAACTTGAATAAGAATAATTCAGAAGTTATAATCATTATAAAGTATAAGCGATAATAAATTTATTGAATATGTTATTTGATCTTCTTTTTGTTATAACTGTGATTCAAAATGAAGGAATGGAAACTTTATGACTATTATTTTTAATAACATTAAAAGACACCTAACATAATTATTGCAAGTGTCCTATTGGTTGGAGACATTAGCCGATTAGAATAAAACATAAATACCGCCATTTTGCGTTTAACTTCAGAAAAAAAACAAATTTAAACTTAAATGGAAAAAGCACTTAAAAGTGAAATGTTAGTGAAAATTTAAGCTCTTCTATAATCACTCAGTAGGCGTAATGTTCACAGCTGATACAACAAGATGTGACTCATACATTCATGCTGTTTTCTTTGCTTGTCATTGACATTTGCTTATCTTCGTTTTTTTTTTTTTGAAATAATGCATCATATTAAATTTCGTTCAATTCGATATGATCTGATGAAATGGACCAAAAAAAAATCTGAGCTAAAGTCTACCATTGTTGATGTAATACGTTTAAGGTCGCGTTGATAGTGGCGGACTTTGGTACACGTTTTTTGGTTTACTGCATGGAACCATCCGATATTCGTCGTTTTTATTGTTAACACAGAAACTATTTCTCTTGTTCATCTGTAATTTTTTTCTTAAAATTCTTTAATTTTAATTCTAAAATTCATATTTATAGATTATTTGTTACAAGTAGTGAACTAAAACAAATTAATATTTATGATAATAATTTAATTTGAAAATCTCTTTGTTTAAAATAAACATTGACCTTTCTTTATTAATAGGTTCGATTTTCATGAATGAAACTAATTCTACTCTAATTAATACTAGTCAACAATTATTTAATGTATAACGAACTACTTTCATGAAATTTTCACTGGAAAGATGAAGAAAAAATCAAATCGAATCTGAAATTCTCCATAATAAATGTTCAACAAACATATTATTTATTTGAAAAAGACTAATAAAAATAAAGACAGATATATTAATATAAAAGATATTGAACTAATTTTAAAAGGTATAGATTCGTATACGATTATGAAAAATTCCATTTGGTATGAGTGATCAAAAACAAAAAACATAAAAATACAAATAACAATAAAAAAAAAATAGAAAATTAGATGTACATGTTTTTAATAGAAAATATTATGCAAAAAAAAAACACTTTTAAATAATTATACTTTGAATTTGAAATAAATCTTATTGGTTTTATCTTTAAGATTCTTATAACTATTGTTCTTATCTCTTGATTCACATGGATTTTGATATTGATGCTGTTCTTGATCAATTAGAAAAGACACGTAAGTATTAGTTTTATTTTACTTTTTTTTTATTAAATCTTTTTTTCTTTTTTTCTTGCAGTCAATCAATCAGATCATGAAGAAAAAGAACCAAATCAAATTATTCAAACATCTTCTATGCCTTCAACTTCTATGAAAACAGCTGATGAACTACTTTTACTCGAACTTGATCCTCTTGGAAATCCAGAATATCATAATAATAATAATAATCAAGAAAATGATGATAAAATTGAACGTATTAAACAAGACCTTCAAGAATTGTATGCATCATCAATTGTGATTGATACACCATCAATGCCTACATCTACTTTACCTGATGTTATTGTTCAACAAGAAGAGAATTTATCAACATCATTACCATTTGCTGTTGAACAACTAGAATTTGAAGTACGACAAGAAATTTTACAACATACTCTTGATCAATCATCATCACCAGATTTAACAACTATGCCAAATAATCATCATGATGATACAAAAGAAACAGGTTTATTTTCAACATCATCAACGTCAACTGAAGAAGGAGAAGAAGAAGAAGAAGAAGAAGAAGAAGAAAAACCTTCATCACCTTTACCAGTAACCGAAACAGCACAAACATCAAATAATTTAATATATCAAAGTGAACCTGATCTTATTCAACATGAAACACCACCAGTAAAAACACCAGTGATTTTACATAGTGTTGATAGTATTGTCAATGCACCCATGGGAACTAATCTTGATGTAGGAATCTTTTATCTATTTTAATATGAATTATCTTAATCAATATTTGTCTCATTAGGATTTTATCACTTCTGATCCATCAATGAATGAGACGGCAACACTTCAGCAATCTTCTGAAATTTTCTTCATTGGCTGTAATGATAATGATGAAAAATCTATGCAATCATCATCTGAAGAACCTATAGGCGATAATGAAATACTTTCTTCTCCTATGACCAAATTAACAACTGCTGTACCTACGCAAGATTTTGATCTTGTTAAAAATATTCTATCTGAAATTTTTGATAAAAATAATGAAGAAATACTTGATGAAAATCCAATTGAAGAAAAAGAATCTGAACTAGTTAATATTGAACAACAAGAAATATCTCCACCACCAGCATCATTGACGACAAGTAATGATGAAGATTTTCGTTTTCTTGATGAAATGCTTGCAAGTATTGATGGACCCGATGTCGATATTCATCAATTAACTCCAGCTGAAATTGATCGAGTTGATAATATACTTAAAGAAATTGTTAATGCACATCAAACAGAAACAGTGTCATCATCATTATCATCATCACTAATTAATGACATTGAACCTTGTCCACCTCCATCTCCTCCTCCTCCTCCTCCTCCTCCTTCAGAACAACCACCATCACCACCAACAGAATCTGATCTTTCATATGCACCACAATCAGTAGCAGCTGCAGCTGAAGCTGCAGCTTCAACAGTAGTACCTGTCGATGAAGAATTGATACGTGTGGAACAAGAATGGTCTAAATTAACTGAAGAAGAAAAAACACTAGGTTCAGTTGCACCGGAATGGGTTAGCGATGATCAAGCACCTGTATGTATGAAATGTTCAGCTAAATTTTCAATAACGCGTCGTCGTCATCATTGTCGTGCATGTGGAAAAGTTTTTTGTTCAGCATGTTGTTGGCAAAAAGTTAAATTAATTCATGATGATAGTAAAGAAGATCGAGCATGTAATGATTGTATTAAAACTATTAATAATGGTATTTTTCTTTTTCTTTTCTATGATTTATTATGGTTTTTTTTTTTCATTTGATATTATAGTTGAATATTTATGGAATTATATGCGTAATAATCAAAAACCTCGTTCATCTGTACTACGGAAAAAAACAGGTAAGAGTTTAAAACAAACATTATCATCAATGTACATTTGATGTTGATGATGGAATATTTTGTAAGATTGTTGTTGGATCAGTTTTGTATGGAACTGTGTAGTACCTTTAAGAAATCAATATTTAAATCTTTATACAATCATGTCCTAAAAGTCCGTTGGGAAAGTTTATGTGAAGATCTTCTATAGAATTAAATCGATTTAATAAAGTTTTTTATGATATATTAGTATACTCTTTGAAATTTTGTTCTGTAAAATATCAGACAAATCTTTATGTCCATAAACTTTAGAATAAATACTGTTTTATTAATGACCGAAGTAAGTAGCGCTTATACTGCTTCTCCTCTGTTATTTTTTTTAAAGTTTCTTGTTTCTTTTGTGCCTGTCCTGAGGATATGAGATCACTATACCAGAACTTGGACATTATTAGTTATAGCAAAAAAAAACAATGAATACTTTAGGAAGAAAATCACTTTCTACAAATAGTGACCCTTCTATTGTATTATGACTTGTATCTCATCTATACTTGTATGTATAAGGATTAAATCTTTTATGCATATATATCTAAAAATTCTCTAGAAAATATAAATACAATTATCTTACAGAGTTACTTTATTAATAAATGCTGGTTATTATTAAAAAATATTCAGTGATACACTTATTTTTTAGTATACTGAAAAGATTGTTCAACGTATAATTTTGCAATGACTCATTATTAAAAAGTGAAGTTTTTATCATCAGTATTTATCAAAATAATAAAAAAAAGAATAATGATACTCTTAACTATAGTTCGAACTATTGAAGAGAAAAGACTTGCACGGGAGTCAAGAATTCACGCAAAATGATTAAATAAAATGGAATTTTTTTTTTGTTTCATTATTTATTGTATCGCGAATGATGTTGTGACATCAAAACTTCTGATTCAAACTTTTGGCTTTTCAGTATTAGTAAAAAAAAAAGTCATTATTTTTAGAACAGAGCCACTTCCAGGTGAAATACCAAAAACTCTACATTTGATCGCAAAACATTTCTCATTTTATTTTCTGTTCTATTGTTGTTTAGCTTTTTATTCATAAAACTTAAAATTATATCTCTGTCCGAATAAAAATAGACTGGAAGTCTTTTCTAACAACAGATACAGTTTCTAGTGTCTTTTTGTGTGCTGATTCCGAAAAGCATGCTTGTTTCCAATGAAAATTCATTTTTGACAATACCAATCTAGAAATACTAATTGTTTTGGGATATTCTATGTGGAAATGACTCTTTTTTGGAAAAAGAACAGCTATTGCTACTAACACTAAAAATGTCCTATGTTTACCTATAGAATCTCTTATCGCTTCAAGTAAAAAATAGTTAAACAAAAGAAAAAATAACATGAAATTATAATCCATGAAAAAACCACCACTTTCTTGGAGTCTCCTATAACTGTAAAACAAAACCTGCAAGTCAAATTTGGCAAAAGC